GATGAATTATACTCGAATTTCATTCAATTGGAATTTGTTCAGGGCTAGGGGAAGGAAACTATTAGCTAATTTTTCTATACTCCATGTAAAATAGACTGGCCCCCAAAACACAAAAGTTGAAATTTTTTCGCTCTTACCTCGGAATACTTCGAAGCCCGATCATGGTATAGGATTTCCTATATAAACCTTGTAACTAACAACACCTCTAATGTGTATTCCGAGTACTTATCGACGTTTGTAACAATATGGGCGTCACGGTTTGGCAAAATCATAATGAATCGATTAAACTGCCTTAAACTGTTAAAATAAAACAGTAAAAATAAATAGATTTTAATTTTTTACATTTTTGAAAATAAAAAATCTTTTGTTTTTTTAATTTTGTGAGATTTTCTGTCCAAAATATTCAAAAATGACAGCCTGATAGTAAAACCAACACTTAATTTTCTTATGCGTAAAAATAGCATGTATTTTTGTTTGGAGTAAAACAATACCACATATCATAATCGAGAGCAAAAATTCAACACACAAAGTTGAGAGCAAAACCACGACATACGCAAAATCAGAGCAAAAGTGAATAAGCGATATGTCGTGTTTTTGCTCTCAAGTTTGTCTATAGTTCTTTTGCCCGCAACAATCGAAGTTTTGTTTTTAAGCCGAAAAAACGGATTTTTTTATGAGCGAGGCGGACCATATATCTACGATCATGTAGATGATTAAAAAATCGCGAAAAATGAAAAAAAATAATAATTTTGTTTTTCTTCTATGCTCAAATACTACTCAATTTTCTGTATCACCTGGTGAAATCAGAATGAAAAAAATCGCATTCCATATCATCTAAATCACGATCTGGACTTTTTTCACTGTTTGAGTGCTCTATACCGAGTCTCCGAGAGTTTCATATAAACTTGCTATGTGATCACTATTGAATAGTAAGCGAATACATAAGCGGTGCACAGAGAGCACTACGAATCCAAATGACGTACGCGTACTGATTCATACTTTAATATGTCACACAGAGTACGACCATAAATACTCGCCTTATTGAAATACTTATTTTTTATGTAAATTCATGTATAAAATATGAACAAATATGAATTTCCATATAGAGCAGATATGATTACTCCTAAATTGCACATAATATTTATACTTTGTGTGCAAGCGAAGTATCAATTTCATTCGTTTTCTAAGCTATGTTTTTCTCTTGATGTTCTATCTGATCTTGTTTTCTGTCCTTTTACTTTTTTCGTTATTTTCTGGTTAATTTATGTTTGTTGAAGATTTATAAAAATCGTGGATTTTGATAAATTAAAAAAAATGTAAACAACTATAAGCAACTTATTTTTTCACATGCTATAGCAAATTTTGTGCATCGATTGTTCATGTGTATTTTAGGAGTAATATCTTTACCATTCTATGCAAAACGGGCAGAACAAATATGATAAAAAATGTGCTGTACGTAGAACATTTTTGCATTGAATGGTAGAGACATTATTCCTAAAACAAATTGCAATGATGTCCACAGAACGAATGGTGAAAAAACTATATTATAAGACACATAAAATGACTCAAAATAAAAACAAGCATTATTCAATAAATATTAAAAATTAATGCAATTCAGGAGTAACCCGAAAAACACAACGTAATACATAACCTTGAAATTGAATGATACTTTGTTTTCACACAAAGTGTATTATGTGCAATTTAGGAGTAATCACATCTGTTCATTGAAATTCAATTATGGATTCATTGAAAATTTAAATGAGTTCATATTTTGAAGACAAGTAATAAATATAATAAACTAGAATTGATAAAAAATAATTTTCAATATAAATACAATAAATGTGTTGTAGATACTATTTTCATGAATTTACAAAAAATAGATATTTCACTTAACGCTGTAAGTAACAGGGCTACTTTGGAGTAACGCTATAAGTAAAAGTGATGTACGCGTAGTCGAGAAGAAGAAGAAGACATAAAACTACGTCTGTGCACCGCTTATGCGAATACCAATAGTGATTGAATCAATAGGCGTCATTTGGCTATTGCAAGGCGAGTTTATTTGAAACTCTCGGAGACTCGGTATAGAGCACAAAAAGTGAAAAAAATGATTTTTTTTCTCATTTCTCGAATACCACTAAATGGTCTATATCATGTGGTGTGATCAGAACGTAAAAATTTGTCATCTTTGTCACCCAAATCGTTGTCTCAATGCTATCTCGCTCCCCCTTGCATGTATAAATGTTTACAACGGACATTCTATTCACACACATCTCGCACTTATATTTTGCTGCGCAATAAAATTATTAACAATGTATTTGGTCATCGCTTTGAGTTTTGTGTCGATGACTTATATTGCGCAGCAAAATATAAATGTGAGTTGTGTGTGAATATAGAATGTCCATTGTAAACATTTATAGATGCAAGGGTAAGCGTGATAGCATGAGACAACGACTTGCCATTTTCCAAGCAGGATTTGGGTGAAAGAGATAGCAAAGTTTTCACAGCAAATGATATAGAGCATTTAGTGGTGTTCGAGAATTTGAAAAAAAGTTTTCTTTCACTTTTTGTGCTTTATACCGAGTCTCCGAGAGTTTCATATAAACTCGCCTTGCAATAGCCAAATGACGCCTATTGATTCAATCACGATTGGTATTCGCTTACTATTCAATAGTGATCACATAGCAAGTTTATATGAAACTCTCGGAGACTCGGTATAGAGCACTCAAACAGTGAAAAAAGTCCAGATCGTGATTTAGATGATAAGGAATGCGATTTTTTTCATTCTGATTTCACCAGGTGATACAGAAAATTGAGTAGTATTTGTAAATCGAAAAAAAAAATTTAATTATTTTTTTCATTTTTCGCGATTTTTTATACCATCTATATGGGAAGCTTGTATGAAAAACACGGAATACCGCTGAAATGACACTGTCGTAGGTCCGTATATATTTGGCGTTTGCCATTTCAGCGGTCTTCCGTGTTTTTCATACAAGCCGCCCATGTAAATGGTGAAAAAGTCGCGAAAAATAAAAAAAATAATTAAATTTTTTCTCTTCAATTCTCAAATACTACTCAACTTTCTGTATCACCTGATGAAATCAGAATGAAAAAAATCGCATTCCATATCATCAAAATCGCGATTGGCATTCGGTCACTATTCAATGGGTATCACATAGCAAGCTTATATGAAACTCTCGGAGACTCGGTATAGAGCGCTCCAAAAGTGAAAAAAATCCAGATAGTGATTTGAATGATAAGGAATGCGATTTTTTTCATTCTGATTTCACCAGATGATACAGAAAGTTGAGTAGTATTTGAGAATTGAAGAAAAAAAATTTAATTATTTTTTTCATTTTTCGCGATTTTTTCACCATTTACATGGGCGGCTTGTATGAAAAACACGGAAGACCGCTGGAATGACACTGTCGTATCACACGCGTATAAAGAAATCAATTTTTCGGCGTAAAAACAAGATCCCGATTGTTGCGAGGAAAAAAAACTATAGACAAAATTGAGAGCAAAAACACGACATATCCAGCCTGCGGGCAAAAACAAGTAATCGATATATTGTGTTTTTGCCCTCAGTTTTTTACAAACTCTTTTTGTTCTAAAATTTGAAAGTTCTCTATATACGCTGAAGAATTTGCATCATGTTTTTACGCTCAAGTTCTTCCATTTCGGTTTTACTATTAGGCTGTCAAATATCAAATTAATTAAAATGAATTGGTTGACATAACCTCACTTTTGTGTCACAATCGTGATAAACCGATTAAATAATTATTAAAACAGTAGAAATAAAAATATTTTAATTTTTTACATTTTTGAAAATAAAAAATCTTTTGTTTTTTTAATTTTTTGAGATTTTCTGTACACAATATTCAAAAATATTAAATTAATAAAAATGAATTGGTTGACATAACCTCACTTTTGTGTCACAATCGTGATAAACCGATCAAATAATTATTAAAACGAAAGTGAGGTTATGTTAAGCCTGCCAGATCGCCCGGATAAATCCGGTGTCGCCCGGATTTTTGAAGCAAAACCCGGACGAAAAATCGCCCGGCCCGGATCACCGGATATGAAGAAAAAAAACCGGATTTCGCCCGGATTTTTTTTCCTTTTTTTAAAAAAAAAATCAAAAAAGACGCGTTTCAACAATTTTTTTCTTTTTTTCAAATTTTTTTTTCAACAATTACCAAAACCATAAGTCAAAATGAAGCTAAAAAAATCAAATTTCCATTAATGTTTTACTCATTCTGCGTATTGGAAATTCATTTTATATTAAATTCTAGTACTTCACTTGTGTACAACTGAATGACATTTCACTTTGGTTTGACAACTCTCTCTTCTCGCATACGTACTATAAAAACAATCGAATCATTTGTATTAAAAATGAAAGATATTCTTTTTATTGTGTTAATAAACAAATTTGAATCGATGATGCAAAATATATTCAGCAATCTGAGCAGAAATGATCGACATCGTCATCGAACACATATCAGTTTGCACTGTGTTATTGTTGAGTTCAGTTCATTCAAAAAGAGAAGCAAAATAAAAATGCCTGGTCCAAAGAGTGGTAGCTGTAAGTGGAATCCAGAGTACAGCAAACTTTATCCGGGAATTACGGCAGCGAAAAATGGGAAATCAGACCATTGTCATTGCATGCATTGCAACAAAGATTTGTCCATTCACCAAAAAGGCAAGGCTGATATTGAAAAGCACGTAAATACAAAGGAGCATATCGCCAATCTGAAAAAAGTTGCTGGTACAAAAACGTTGTCGAATTTGTTCAATGGTATTGTATTTCTATTTGCTGTTTGTTCTTGGTGATGTTTTTCATTACAATCAATATTTTTATTTTGGTTGAACATATATAGCTAATGAGAAAGCAGCTATTGAAAATGCAGCGAAAGAAGCATTGTGGTGCTACCACAAAATACACAAAAATCAATCATTTGCGTCATCTGACTGTGAAAGCGGTATCTTTAGTGAAGTGTTTATGCAAAACAAATTCCGATTGGGTAGAACGAAATGCGCAGCAATTGTTTCAAATGTGTTTGCTCCAAAAATTGTCGAAGAAATGAAAAAGGAATTGGAATCATGCAATTTCGTCTCGATCGCAACAGATGCTTCAAACCATGGTGCAATCAAAATGTTTCCCGTTGTTGTTCGTTATTTTGCAGCACTCGAAGGTCTCAAAACAAAGGTTTTGGATTTATCAGATCAAAAAGGTTCATCAAATGAATGATTTGATTGTGTTCTTTTTACTAAAATAAAATTGTTTTCAATAGGTGAAACTGCTGACATAATCGTGAATTTGCTAAGCGTTACGGCAAACAATTATGACATTGAGAACAAAATTGTCGTGTTCTCTGGTGACAACGCACCAACCAATTTTGGATCCGTTCATCGAACAGGCAGCAAAAATGTATTCAAGCAACTAAAACAACGTTTCAATGCGAATATGATTGGAGCTGGTTGCACCGCTCATTCACTTCACAATGCGATAGGCAACGCTTCTGACAAGCTGGACATTGACGTTGAATACATCGCAGTGAAAATTTATACACACTTCTACCGATACACTGTTCGTTTGAATACATTGAAAGATTTTTGTGATGCAATTGGTGAAACATACGTAAAATTGAAAGGCTACAGCAAAACGCGCTTCTTAGCGTTGAAAGAATGTTTGAGTTCAATCATTGCCAATTTCGACGCATTGAATGAATATTTTCATTCTTTCGATGCACCTGTGAAAATTTTGGAATTTTTCGATGACCCATTCGCTTTGGTAACGTTGATTTTCGTTCGAGATCAAGCAGAGAATTTTCAAAATGCCATATTGCGACTTGAAGGAGACTACATTTGTGCTGTTGATGCGTGCCATACAATCGATGAATTGAAAACTAATGTTAAAAGTCGGCTGCAAAATAATTATTTTTCATCTGAATTCCGCACTGCAAGTGAGAAAGTCAACAATGGTGCTCCAAAACGAAAGTTTATGGATAAAGTCAAGGCATTTCATCGCACGGTATTGAAGTATTTGAATGATTGGACTGAATGGTTGGATGATGTCAAAGTATTTTCTTGGATTCGGCTAAACAACAAAGTAAAATGGAATGATATCGAGTGTGCTGCACTATGGATGACTGGACGAAACTATTTCAATTCAGTGGATATGGACAAGCTCTTCAATCAGTTCTCAATTATGGAAGCATTCTTGAATGTAAACGAAAATTCAATCAAAGAGGAAAAGGCGACTGACAAAAAGTGGGTCAAAATATTTCGTCATTTTGATGAGAAATCGGTGCCATTTAGTGAGTTGCTGAAGTTGGTAGAATTTGCATTGGTCATTCCTGCTACAAATGCAACAGTCGAACGCGTTTTTTCACACATCAATGACATTTGGACACCAGAAAAAGGCAGCTTGAAAATTGAAAATGTTCGTTCACGGTTAATGGTCAAGTTCAATTGGAATGATTCTTGCTCAAACTTCTACGAAAAAATCAAGGGTGATTCCGAACTGCTTCGTAAAGTTATGGGACATGAAAAATACGACAAAACGTCCGATTTGTTCAAGACACAATCAAATGAACAGTTACTCTCAACTTCCACTACAGCTTAAGCTCATATTTAGTTAAAAATTTCTGATTAAGGTTACATGCGAGTTTATTTATTAATATTTTGATTAAAAAATATGATTTTTGTATCAACTTCTTTTGTTTTACTCATATATTATATTGATCGAAAAAAAAAATTTTGAATTTCGCCCGGATTTCGCCCGGATTTTCAATTGGCAATTTTGGGCCCCATCGCCCGGATTTCGCCCGGATTTAGAGAAAAATCGCCCGGATAATCCGGCCCGGATCGACTAAAAAAAAAATCTGGCAGGCTTATGATATGACAATTTTCAAACGGCCAAAAATGTGCAAATAAGTGATGTAAATAAGGAAAGACACGAAACAAAAGTGCTGAATAGACAGTCTATGCGTGAAAAAAAAGACATTCCATTGAGTATATAAAGACACATGGCAAGCGGTGAAAACGAACGGTGAAGACAAACGGTGAAAACATAAACGGCGATAACGGTATATACAACGACTTGGTCCGTACATATGCATAGGGGACAACCACTGTCGGACGGACAGTGGCAATGTAGGACAGAATTTGCATAGAGACTGCCAAACGGACGTCGGTCGGACGTCCGCAACACAAAGTAAAATTATTTTAAGAATATTTCTATTAGATGGGC